GGCTTACATCGCCCCTGAGAACCTGAAGGACATCAACTGTGCCTACAAGAGGCCCTGTGAAATATACAGGTGTGTCTGTCCCTCCCAGGAGTGATGCCCATAAGCAGGCAGATGTTGGGCAAAGTAGATGTTGAGTTATGGAAAAATGCCGGGTTTAATCGGACACGTAGGCAGCCATTTGCGGTTGGCATAGCCCAACAGTTGCCTCCGTTAGGAAGGAGTAGAAGGTGGTAGGATGGATGCTGAGACTCTTGCTTTGTCTCCTTCCAGCTTCGGGATCGTGCTGTGGGAGATTGCGACCTCCAAAATCCCATTTGAAGGTGAGACAGATGAATCTCATCCCCCACATTAAAGCCACGTGGCGCGGTGTGGCTGTTGGCTGGCGTTGGATGCTCCCTGCCCCTTCCCGGAGCACACCATGGTGTGCGGGTCCCTGTGGCAGTGCCTGGTGTGCCTGGCTCTGCGAGAAAGCCTTGTGGCTTCTCCTGGGACTCCGATACAGTAAAGCATTTCATCAACATGCTTAAACCACAAACATCCAAGTAATTTTTGTCTCTATTTGATGTTCCTGTGAATTGAAGCATAAGCACATCTTCTCGCTCCACTGGAGCCCAACGGTGTCATGTCAATTACAGGGTGGTTCGCAGTTTGGGTGGTGTCTCTGCTGGTTCCTCCATGCCACAGGAAGGCTCTTGGCCTGGCTTTGCACTGGCTTTCCTCCCCAGCACTCTCCTGTGGCAGCAGAGCTCTGTCCTGACACCCCTGTTTGCACGTGTGTTGTCTAGGCTGCACTCCCCAGGAGATCATGGAGAAAATCTGCAACGATAATTACCAGGACCCTGTCGGGGAAGATTGTCCTGAAGACCTGCGGAAAGTCATTGACCAGTGCCGGGCCTTTGACCCTTCCCAACGCCCTTCTGCCGAGGGTAAGTATCCGGGACATCTGCTCCCTGCTCCACACGGAGGCCCTTTGTATCCCTCAATCAGCTGCTCCAGGGGTCAGTTTGCCTCTTATTTTCCATATGAATTTGCCTGGCTTTGTGTTTGGAGATCACTCCTTGTCCTACCTTCTTATGCTAACAAGTCCCCTAATACTAGACCTCTCTTTCTCCTGTATCATTTATCCATGCTTTGGCAACAATCACCAGGCATTTTGATTTCACATCACATAAAAGTAAGCTTTTTCTCTCCGACAAAGCACTGAACTGAGAGTAGGGGTGTGTGGGTTAATACCCGGTCAGGACCTGCAGATACTGTAAGGTGGAGGAGCAGCCACGACACGGTGCAGGAACATTTTCCGCTGTTGGCTGCGAACAATAAATTGCAATCTTGGGAATTGCTCTGTGGTGGGGAAGATTTTACTGCCTCTGAAGTTATTTTGGGTCTGATCAGATAAATGATTGGTTAAATCAGAAGATTTAACAGAAACAGTAGGAGAAGATAGAGGAACCTTCCCGGTGTGCTTGAGGGCACAGAGATTGTACCCTTCCTTCAGTTCTTCTCTCCAAGTGGAGAAAGCTTCCTTCAATCTCATCTGCTCCATCCTATGGGGGTGGTTTCCATACAAGAGATGTGGAGACTGTGTGTAAGAAACCACGCAGCTCCTGCTGTGTGCCACGCTCTCTGTGCCTCCGCCTCCCAACAGCAGCTCCCCCAGCAGTCCCTGCCACAGGGAATCACCCCGGCTGGAGTGAAAACACCAAAAAAACAGCAGAGACATTGGCAAAGCCACCCTGAGGATACAGCACGTCTTTATTCCTTTAATCCCACGCCCAGCCGTGCCTGCGTGGTGCTGAGCTGGAAGGATGTCTTCTCACAGCTGTTTCCAGGCATACCACCGTATACATGGCTGCTTCTCTTTGGGCTGTCCTCACCTGCGTCTGCTCTGGGCTGTCCCTGCTAATGGCTGCCCAGTCACGCTGGCCTGAGGAGAGAGAAGGACATCGTGTCCCAGTTGTTATCAGCAAGGGAGAGCTATCTTCTCATCAGGGGGGAAAAAAAAACAACCCACCCTATGGCAAATATTCTGTTTTGATTAACGCCATCCTCGTGTTTTGCAGAGATTGTGGACTCGCTGGCTGACCTGGAGAAAAGCAGAAACCAAGGAAGTTAATTGCGGAAAGCAGGGCCGGGTGACCAGAAGCTGCCTCGGAAAGCAAGCCGAGGGCAACTGGGCGGCCTTCCTGCCGCAGGCCGAAGCGTGCCGCTCGCCCTTCTTCCCTGCCTTCACAGAGAGCGATCGTTCAATACAAGCGCATTTGTTTCAGTACGCCGAGACCGCCATGTCACCTCTCCAAGGGGCCTGGGGTCGCTTCGGAGGCGGCTGGCGGGCGAGGGCGCCCTGCCACAGGATCTGGCCCCGAA